GGTGAAGACCAGGTCTGTCGGGGAGACAGTGTCATTCAGATTATTATGTTTTATTTTTATTATTTTATTATTTCCCTTCTACGTGACTTTACCGAAAGAACCAAGAAGATGAATCCCTGCAGTCACGAAAGCTTTAAATCGAAATTTAAATACAAATAGATTCTTATGCAATTCAATACGTGACCTGGTGCATTTGCATTGTCTGAACACTTGATAGCTACGCTGACTCGTGTGAATGCACGAGTGCTGCATTGTCCAAGCGTCGTACAAGAAATCCTGTCTTAACACCACCAACACCGCCCACCTCTCTTCCTTCGCAGGAGCGGCACCGCGAAGAGCAGCAACGAACTGAAGAGGAGATCAAATCGGAGAAGAGCAGGAAGACAGCGGAGCGCGTGCACGAGTGGATGAGGAATAAATTGGAGCAGGTGGGATACGGCACGGGAAACAGCAAAACTAAAACTAATCTCTTCTTGGTTCTTTCGGTAAAGTCACGTAGAATTGAAATAATAAAATAATAAAAATAAAACACTTAAATAATTCTCACGACGTTTCGGCCACGTCGTGAGAATTATTTTATTATGTTTTATTTTTATTATTTTATTATTTCAATTCTACGTGACTTTACCGAAAGAACCAAGAAGATGAATCCCTGCAGTCATGAAAGCTTTAAATCGAAAAATAAAACTAATCTATTTTTATTTGTACTGGATAAGGCCCAACTGAGCTATACAGCTCTTTTTCAAAATCGACCTGGCCACGTTTGATAGCTCAACGTGGAAATTTATAGCAGCCAAATACTCAAAACGCATGACGTTGATTCTAAATGTGCAGTGAAAAACCGGAGTACCCGGAGAAAAATCCACGCGACCACGGGGAGAGTGAACATGCAAACTCCAAATATGCAGCAGGCGTCAGGGTCGGGATCGAACTTACGACCTCCTGTATAACAGGCGAGGTAGTTAACATTTTTGCCACCGTGGCACTGGAATCATGTGGGTCCTGTGCAGGCGGGCCGGGTGGGCGGGCTACGAATTCGCGGGCTGCAACGTCACGTCAGCCACCCTCCGCGGTGTGCTCAGTTGCAGCTCGAGGAAGAGCAGGCGGAGCGCAAGGAGCGCACGAAGATGGAGGAGAGAGAGCAGGAGAGGCAGAGGATCTTGGAGAAGGCGCACGAGAGCTACCAGCAGTGGCTGCAGCACAAGGCCGCGGCCGAGAAGGAGAAGAAGCAGAGGCAGCAGGTGCGGCACACTCGCGCACTTCCCTCCGCAACGCAGCCCCACCCCGCCCCGTTCCATCTCCACAACACAGACCACCTCGTTACCTTTCCACAACACCGACCACCCTGTTAACTCTCCACTCCATCCGCAACACAGAACACCTCGTTACCTCTCCACTCCGCCCGCAACACAGACCACCTCGTTACCTCTTCACAACACCGACCACCCTGTTAACTCTCCACTCCATCCACAACACAGACCACCCCATTACACCTCCACTCCCTTTACAACAGACCACCCCGTTACCTTTCAACTCCCTCCACAACACAGACCGCCCTGTTAACTCTCCACTCCATCCACAACACAGACCACCCCATTACATTCTTGATTTGAAGCTTTCGTGACTGCAAGGATTCATGCTCTTAGGTTTTTTTTAGGTAAAGTCACGTAGGTAAAAAAGAAAATTTAAATTTATAAAAGTAATAATAGAAATATTTTATTTTATTTCTAGTATTACTTTTATAAATTTTTATTTTATTTTATTACCTACGTGACTTTACCGAAAAACCCTAAGAGTATCACCCCATTACATCTCCACTCCCTTCACAACAAACCACCCCGTTACCTTTCCACTCCATCCACAACACAGACCACCCTGTTCACCCTCCACTCCGTCCACAACACAGACCACCCTGTTAACTCTGAACTCCCCTTCACGTGTTCTCCACTCAGCAACACAGACCCCCCCCACCCCATCACCTCCAGTCTACCGAGATCTGAAGAGAACAGGGCGCCAGTCATGGTGATTTTGTAACTTTTACTTCACGAAAATTAAAGCATCGAGTCGAAACCCCCCCCCCCCCCCCATCCAGGAGGAGATGGAGCGGCTGGCGGCAGAAAAACGCGAGAGGAGGGAGAGGGCGGAGAGGGAGTTTCGGGAGTGGCTGGAAAAAGCGAAGACGAGACCTCGGCCCAAACGCGAGTGGCCGCTGGGCAAAGGAAACGGTGAGGGGGGTGGGGGCGTGGACGGGGGTGGTGGTGACCTCACGCGCAGTCACGCCGAACGCCTGAGTCGGCGACACAACCAGCACCCGAGGTTTGAGAGGGTGTCAGTTAACCATCGTAGCTTCAGTCATTCAAGTCCCCGGGGGGGCACGAGCTGTTTCGAGGAGTTACAATGCAGGGCAAAAACCCTGTGTGGGGTTTTTTTTTTCCCTTGGTGCATTCATATTTTCGATGTTAATTAAAACGTACCGCTCTTCGTTGTGTTTGCGTTGTAGCCGCGTGATGTTAACTATCGCTGGGGTGCCACAGTGGCGAGCTGTTAACTGCCTCGCCTGGTAGACGGGAGTTTCGTGGCTTCAATCCCAACCCTGATACCTGAATATATTTGGACTTTGCGTGTTTTCCCTTTGGTGGTGTGGATATTACTCCTGGTTTTTTTGGTTTGGCTGCTATAAATTTCCACGTTATAAGCACACTTCATTGAGCTAACATTTGTGATAGTCAGGTCGCTTCTGTCAAAGAGCTCTATAGCAGCTCAAGGCCTTATCTGGGACAATTCGGTTTCGGCACCGAAAGTTGGCAAATGGCCTCTTTCGGCATACTTTCGGTTTTGGCCGAAAGTCAATTTTTTACTTTCGGTTTTGGCCGAAACTATAACTTGTTTCGGTCGGCCTCTATTGAAAACCAAGTTGTGTTTTTTAACATGCACCCCCCCCCTCCCCACACGCTCTCCCCACCCACAGGCACCTACAGCAACGCAGGCTACCCGGCGCCCAGCTTCTACAACCCCGTCCCCTGGAAGCCGATCCCCACACCTCCCCAAGACGCCGTCTGCCCCAAGTCGGCCAAGGGGAAGAAGGCGCGGTGCGCCAGCGCGCCCGCCGCCAGGCGCGGCGCACCCACCGCTGCGGGCAGACCCGGCGCCGCCAGACTAAGGTCCTAGAACGCCGATTCCCACCCGTCGACCGACAGCCTGGCCCTGTAGCGTGAAACTAAAACTATTTATTTTACCCGATAAGGCCCCATTGAGCTATATAGCGCTTTTTCAGATGGGAGCGGGCCACGGATGAAAGCTAAAAGTGGCTCATCACGTGTAAATGTATAGCAGCTAAATACTCTACAACACGTCGATTCTAAATGAGGGGAAAACCAAAGGCCCCGGAAAGAAATCCATGCGACCGTAGGGAGACATGCACACTCCAAACATACAAGCATCAGGATCGAACCCACGATTACCTGTATACCAGGCGAGGTGGTTAACATCTCGCCACCCAGGTGCATTGTACTCACCCTGTAAGCTGTTGTGGTGAGTCAGGGGGCACGGCCCCGCTCTGGGAGTTAGAGATGTCCTTTCGAGAGCAGGGTGGGCGACCTGCTGCTCCAGCGCTGCATGTGGCTCTTCCAGGGACTGCTTCGTGACATTGTGAGAAGCACAGTCTCGGTTTCACCACACAGTGCAATTGCACAATTTTTTTTAAACCAAATTCGAAGAAAAAAAAAAGTCCTTTAATTTGGTTGCGGACCCCTATGGGCTATAGCTGAGATTACAGATGGAATTTCCTTATGTTCTCATTTATCCCTGTTGCCATACTACGTGCAGTACCGAAAAACCCTAGTTTATCATGTTTAACTAAACCACAAGATTGTCATATAATTGTTAATTCTACGCAACCCAGTACTGACCGACCCTTAGTCGTGCACGTAAAAGTTCCATCAGCACAAAGCGGCATGTTACCTTGCCGAAGGGAAGGAAAACCACCTGGACTCAAAGTGTGGTGTTTGTTTTGGCCACACACCCACTTTGGAGGGTTGTTTGAACAGCGACGATGCCCACAGTAGCTGCCACCCCTCGCCGTCAAAGGGGAGTGACTATTGAGACAGACCCAAGCGCACTCATTGTGGTGGTGTGCGGCAAAGAGGTGCATCAATTCGTATCCATTCTTAAGCTCGCGATACATGCGTCGAATGACAGTCTGTGCGTGTGTGCTGGTTGTGGGGTGGGTGTGTACGACTTGTGGGTTCTTTTACAAACACTACAATGTTCAAAATCGTTTCGAATATCAAATCGTGGCAATTCATTGAATTTCCGTGGAGGGGCGCGGGACTGTTGATTTGCACTTAACATCGATTAGCACGGTTGGCTACACGCGATGCAAAAGATGTTCAACATACATAATACGCACAACACAGATGGGCCTACACCTCCAGCCTGCAACTTTATTGGATATGGCGCGGCTATATGAGGCCGACCACTGACACAAGACTGCAAACGATATTCATCTGTCGTTGACCCCTGACTGTATCTCAAAAAGTCTTGTTCAGCCATTCGTTCATAAAATGTTGCCACATTCCCGATGTAAGATACCGAGGGATTGAAATGCCTGAAATGGCACTTCTATTTTAACTTAAGGAATTGTATTTTTCTCTTGTGCAGAATGTTTAAAAGTTACTTTTGGCCAATCAAAAAATCTCGAGAAGAGTTTTTTTTTACCATTTTGCCAAACAACCGTTAGTGGTAGCTTGATGATGTGACTAATATAATGAGACTTCAACAAATGATCAGCAACTTATTCTGGTGCGGGTTGTTCCATGTGACCGCCCCCTTGTGTTTTCGGGGGTTCGTACCGTGTGTCCTTGGATACGATGTCCGACATTTTGGCATCGGAGAGGACAAGGCAGTACACATCTGGGAGCTTTTTTGTTTTTATTCCCGGTTCTTATACAACCGTGGACACACTTAGATCAACAACAACAAAAAAACTCAAACTGGGACCCTTGAAATTAATAAATGTTTTTTTTTATTATCAACTGGCACTTTCGTCATAAATTTTTTTGTACACATATTTAAATGAACAATTGGTAATATCTATACGGTAAGTCAACGCTTCAGGAACGCTTTATAATCCCTGCTCATCCGTGGCATGACGTGGGCGAGGCGGGCGGGCGGAAGGGTGTTCTCCTGCACACTTGCAGCCTACGGTGATCGGAGCGAACCAGCCATTGCGAGCGCAAAAGTAGCGCAAACTTGCCAGCCGACCTCTCGTTTCTTGTAAACCGATCCGGCTTCACAGTCCCATCGCGCGAGAGAGAGAGAAACGGCCACTCTTGGCAAAGTGCTAGCGCTTGCTGGTGGTGGTCCTTGCCTTGGTGATGGGGTGGGGGACTATTCATCTGTCGCAGCAGTCCTGCAAAAACCGAGCCCTCCAGAGCAACTTTTAACACAACAGGTAAAGTGGAGCCATGGTTACCGTCTGTAGCAAATACTGCGAGTTCACGGCATTTCTCCTCCGTTTTGCATTTTTTCCGGGTTTTTTTTTTAAGTTTCACGAGATTGCACCCGTCACAGTGAAAGACGTGCGGCGAAGACGCACGGGGGCCCCAACTAAAAACCCAACGAGGCCCGCACCGAACTGCGGTGCAAAAACTCAAATCGATCGTTCCGCTCCCCCCCAACCGCAGTTTCGACAGACATTAAAAAGTAAATGCGAGGAAACTTTAATAATACTGCCTTCGGGGTCCCAGAACGAGTCACGTGGTGTCAGGCACAGGAGGGAGGGGGGGGACGGGGCTTACTTACAGCGCAGCGGCTTGGGACAGTTGGGCAGGAGGAGGCGGTGGTTGCCACCCCCACGCGCCCCCCCGCCGCCACCCCCCTCCGCCCTGGTGGGTGGCGGCGGGCACCGGCGGGCACCGGCGACCGCCAGGCCGGGGGGGACTTACGAGGTGGCGTGGCCTGGCGAGAGCGTGACGGAGGAGGGCAGTAGCTCCGCAAGGCTGACCCCGGCCTCGCGGCACAGAGCCAGCGCACGCTGCACGGGCGCTCCCCCTTTGCCGCCGCACGCCGAAGACGACGCCGACGCCGCAGCCTCCGCTTCCGCGAGCACAAACTGCACGCGGTGCATACGGTGGTGAGACGACGCGTTGGGGCGACGGGTTAGCGGCGACGATGGCGTTGGGAGCGTTTTTCTTCTAGCTGGCGAGCCGATCGTCGCGACACGCTTTGGGCCCACCGGTGCCACGGTGCACACACAATACACGTGGGGCACCAAAGTAGGAGGGTGCTCGAGCGGGCAGAGATGAGAATTCCACGATGAAAATTATCTTCCGAGAGAAAGGAGACGGAATGAAGACTGGTGCTTTGGCGGCGAGGTGGTGGTGGTTGCTACTATTATTCTTGAGGCAAGACTTGGACGGATCGAGCACGTGTTGGACCAGAGACAGAGACGATGCAATTAGAACGACGATGGGGATTAACCTTCTTGGTTCTTTCGGTAAAGTCACGTAGAAGGGAAATAATAAAATAATAAAAATAAAACATAATAAAATAATTCTCATGACGTTTCGGCCACAACGCAAGCAGCCGTCCTCAGGTGAAGAACAGGGCTGTCGGAAAGATTTTTATTTCCCTTCTACGTGACTTTACCGAAAGAACCAAGAAGATGAATCCCTGCAGTCACGAAAGTTTTAAATCGAGACGATGGGGATGCCACCGGTGCACTGCGCAAGGAGTAAGAGGGAGACCCGAGGGCGAGAGGGAAGGATGCAGCTAGAGAAGAAGGCACAGAATAGCAGTATCCAAACAGCTGATCCCCAAGCAATAGTGGGGGGGGGGGGGGTGGGGGGCTTTTGGCAGAGAAGATTACACTTTTCTCGGTGCTTGCCATGGTGTGTTAGTCTCCACATTTTACTGTTATTATTGTAAGTTAATATCTGTTGCGAGGGACACGATTCGAAAGCACATCAGAAAGCAGACCGGGATCTAGACGATGAAATATGGGCGAGCGGACAGCAGGTTGTGGAGTGCTTTTTGAAAAAACTTTGTGTAATGCAAAACAACATCCTCAGGCATCATCGAGTTTAAATTACCCGCGATGATACGATCAGAGGGCATGGCACGCGGACAAAAGAAAATGGAACGAAAAGCGTGCAAAGCGCGTGATGAGATGTGCGATTCGAATTGCACCTAAGTGACAGACGGAAGAACGCATCGGAGAAATTGCAGGACGTCGCCTGTTAAGCAAAGTTAAGTGCGCGCTTGGGCATGGCCAATGCCTGAGACCGCTGACGGATTGTCGGTCAACGCAGAGAAACGCCCGGGAACAGATGGCCGGCCCCGGAAATGGAGCGATGAAATCGGCTCACGTGCAAGAGATGGATTTCTGCATCACAAGAGGGATGGGCATCGGCTGTCGGGAGGTCTTTACCCAAAACCGAGATGTAACCACACTTTACCTCGCCACAAATGACCTCCCGATCCGACTGGTGAAGCCCATTTATGCTGCTGGGTGCAGCAATGCGGGTGGGCAGATTTAAGAAACCTGCCCGCCGGGAGATGGAATCAAACCGGCTCCCTCTGGATTGCAAGTCTAGCGTGTTAACCACGACACCACAGCAGCGTCTGCCGGGGGAGTGATAACTCGGTCCCGACCTTCCCAAACGCATCCCCGAAAACCTGCAGAGCAAATAAATCTAGCAACCACCGCCGCCACCCCGTGTGTGTCGCGAGCACTCGTGCGGTGCAGGTGCGGTCGGTTACATCTTTCCAGAGCGACGCGGAGAGCGGAAGGCAGTGCAGAGCTCGGACGAACAGGCGCCGCAGCTGGGGGAAGACACGGAGCACACACGGCTAGGGCTCGGGCAACGCGATGTTTTCTCCACGTCGCCGAGGGCGGGTGGGGGGAGTTGCCGAGCGATCGCGCATTCGTTTCAGACGTTTGTGGTTTGAATTCGGCAGGCCGACCTGGATAACCACTGCAATAACTGTTATGCAAATCTGGCTGTCGGCTGATGAGGCTTGGTTGTAATTACCGACGGAAATCCGTACTCGAATTCATAAGTTTTTGGATCAGATCGCGTTATTTATGTGTCATAACACTCCACCATCCGACACGGCCAAACAGTCAAAAACGTGTCACGTCTTTCAAAGGACAAAATAATTCACTTCTTTAGCCCACCGGTGTGTTGAAGAGAGAATCAACAGCATTTTAAAATTTGAGCAGTACGACGTTTCGCTGGTAATTACAATCAGCTTCATCGGGCAAGAATGGCGAAGCTCTCCTGTTGCTTCCGGTTGTTTGTCTTTTTATATTAAACCCGATCATCTGAGATTGGGAGAAATCCGGTTTAATTGGTTCTAATTGCAGAACCGCACTTCTCAACGATGGGCTTCATCCATTCCAAGCTAAGGAACTCACTGGCGCCCACGATTGTGGACGAGAAGCTCGTGTTCATCAAGACCAACCTGCCCGCCGCATTCTACGACTACCTCGTGCCCGACGGCCCCCCCGAGTACGATAGCAGCACAGACGAGGAAGCAGCCCAAGCCTTGGATCAGAGTTTCGTATTCAATAAACCAGGTTCTAATTCCCCGAAATCGGGTTTAATTGTATTAAAGAAAAAACCCGATGCCTGCCGCTGGAAAAATGGGGTTTTTTCCACCCATGTAATGTTGTGGGTTTGCTCTCCAACACATCGTTGTGCTGAGCTGGTAATTGGCATGTTTTGTTTAAGTGAGAAACGTTGCTAAATGGCTGTGTCGGGGGTGGTGGCAGGCTTTAACGACACATTTATACTCACGCGACCGAACCCAACAAAACCTCATGGATAATATTGGTCGCGAAAGCCTACGTGTTAAAACTATTACACTACGCGCCATCTGCTTCACATTGCCCATTAAAGATCCCCCTCCGACGTCATTCGCAAGCTTAGTAGGCCACTACGCGTCAGCCTCGGGGGGGATCCAAATTTGCCACATTTCGATACTTACACCACAAATTATTGAATCCGAATTATACACGGCAATAAATCGGCCACGACCGGCAGAAACCGCAGGTCACTCCTGTAAACAGGAGTGACCCGGTCGCGTGTCGAATTTCTCTCGCCCTATTAAAGCGTGTTCAACCTGTAACCTGTAACTCAACGGTTTGCGACAATAAATTTGGCGGCGGCGGCGACGATGACGACGCGTGTTGCAGGCAACCGAGGCCGCGCTCCAATCACAAAGGCGGTATATATATATATCGGTGCGTCGGTCCTCACCTCCGACGGGCCGTGAAGTTTTCTCGTGGCAGCGATGACTCTGCAATCGGGAAGAGGAAGCTGCTTTTAAAGCGGCGACGGAGACACAGCAGCTACAGCAGCGGTGGCAACAATTGGCAACAGCATAAGCAGTAGAGGAGCGGTAAACTAAACTAGAAACTATTTTATTTTACCAGGCAAGGCTCGCCGAGCTATGCCGTGGAATTTTATAGCGGCCAAATACTCTGAAACACGTTTCTATATTGGGAGGGAAAAAAACGGAGGACCCGGAGAAAAATCCACGCGACCACAGGGAAAACACGCAAACTCCAAATATACAACAGGCGTCAGGGTCGGGATCGAACCCACGACCCTCTTGTATACCGGGCGAGGTAGTTAACATCTCCTAACCACCGCGCCGGCCCAGATGTGACGGCGACAACAGGGGTACACATCCAACATTGTCGCTCAGCTCCTGCGCGCTAAGCGCCAGCGCATTAGGCCTGGAAAACGATTTACGGTGTCCCAACTCTGTTCAAGGATCCATTACTCGGTGACACTTAAAGCATTTGGGCAGCGGCGCAGCAGCGGGGATAACACAACTACTAGCATTCGTCATGAAGACTTCGGCTTTAAAAATATTTTTAAAAGTATACAGCGTGGGGCGGGGGGGGGTAGTTTGGGACAATGGTTCTTCACAGCACAGAGACGCCGCATGTTCCACTCTACCTCCCCGGCATCTTACGTGCTGCGAAGAAGGACCGTTGCTTGAAACGTCGACCATTTCATAGTTTTTTTTTTACGTCGAAGGCCAGCGTTGGACAAAAGCGTCAAGTTCTTTTATCAAACCAATGGCTCTACATTTATCGAGTTCTCTCAAACTCGTGTTTTACTCTCCGAATTTGAGGATCACATTTTTGCTTGCGGGTCCAAATGTTTTGCGTCTAGAGTTGGAGAGAACTCTAGCGTTGTTTTTGCGTCGCAATTTTTTCGCGCGGCGCGCGTTTCCCCCGCAGGCACAATTCCTGCCGGGGGCAAACACCGATATTAGTCGACGGCTCTGTTCTTACGCTCGCGTGTACGCGCGTTTCGGCGGTTAAAGAAATCGGTTCGTTAAAGGTTCGAGCAAAACCACCGCGCGTTACCGGTCGCCAACATTGTGGGCCGACGGAGGAAATCACGCGGCACGACACAAGACGGGTACCGCGAAGCGAAGGAAGAGCCGATTGTTAAAGCGCCGACTGCGAATCGTTACGTGCCGAGCGAGTGGTTGGGATCACCGTCGCCACCATGGCCAAAAGCTGCCGGATGGCACCTGGGGGGGGGCGTTTGAACGAGGGTAGCGGCTTTCTTTATTTTTATAACCGCACGCCAACGTGACCACCGCCATCGGGGGTGACACTGCATGTCACACCTGTGAGCAGACGCCCACCCAGAAAACCAACAGGCAGGCGAGGGGGGCGGTGACGGTGGCGAGACGGCGGTTAACGGAAAGGGGGGGGTTTTGTACGATGCCGGTCGAAGCCTCGGCGGACAACGGCATCGGTGGCTTAAATGTTCACGAGACCGTTCGTCGAATCTTGCGGGCGTAAGTAACAATAAAAAAAATCATCGATCAATTTAAATTCGCACCTACTGCGTGCGCACATTGACCCGCGGGCAGCCATTAGAGACCACTACACATTTGATTCATCAAGCGAATCCTGATCCGGAGTCGTGATGATAACAATTGTGGTGATGAAAGCGTTGATAAACGATGGTCGTGGTGGTTATGTTGATGATGACAGTGATGGTGGTGGTACTACCACCCGCTGTTGATGATGATGGTAGTGACGGTGATAATGGTAAGGATGATGATAGTGATGATAATTCGTTTGTTGTTTTTCTCCCCTCCCCCCCGTACCTCCGAATCGCACGGTTTCGCTACGTACGGCGTGAAAGAAATTCAACGTGCACACGATGACAGTGGCGGTCTCGGCGATGATGGTAATGATGATGGCAGCGATGAGCATTGATGATAATGGTGGTGGTGGTGAAGCACAGGGCACTGGGGATGACATACTCTTAGTTCTTTCGGTAAAGTCACGTAGGTAAAAAATGAAATTAAAATTAATAAAACGTCCACGTCGATGCCTACGAGCACCTCGTGCCTTCTTTGAGCTCCGCCCCCCCCTCCCGATACGTTTCATTCATTGGCTACCACATTCTGATAAGCTCCCCCCCCTCTCCTCCCCCTCAACTTGTATTTAAGAGCTTGCATCTTGAATCCCTGCCTCACTTGATGAAGCAAATCTGGCTGTGACGGTCCCACCTGATGACGGAGACTTGTGTTGCCTCCGAAACGTCGTGTTTTTATTATTTTAGTTTTATTAATTTTTATTTAATTTTTTACCTACTTGGTGACTTTACCGAAAGAATTAAGAGTATGAATCCTTGCAGTCACGAAAGCTTCAAAATTGGGGATGACATTCCGGCCGCGGGATTTTTTGTCTCGGCGTTCATTAAAGGCACCGAGCGTCGAGGCCCAACAGTACATTTTCCAGATGAAAAGACAGGAGGGCAGCCTCTGGATCAGCAGCTTGGCCTGTAGAGCAACGCTGTGGACGTTTCCCTCCTCCGCCTCCGCCACCAGCAACCTGGGTTGGGTTGGGGAGGGGGGGGGATGGGGGGGGAGGGAGGGGTAGAGGTAGGAAGGGGCAGCACAAAGGGCAGCCCACCTTCCATCTTCTTCATCGTCATGAGCGCCACCGACCCACCCCCTCCCCCACTTCAACATCACTCATCCCCTGGTCATCGTCGTCGTCACAACCCAACATCGATCATCATTCCGGCTACGCTATCATCGCAACCCAACGTCAAAGGCCAATATCAACGTTATCATCGTCAGTTCAATTTCTAGCAACGCTACCATCAGCACCGTCGTCACAACCAATATCACTTGTTGCGACTCATCATCACCGTCATGGTTCCAGCTGCCACCAACACTAACGTTGACACCAACATTGTTCCCACCACCATCATCATCATCGTCGTCGTCCTGTCCCTCCATCCTTACAAACCGCACCACCACGTAAGGAGGGTTATGCGATTGCAGGTTGGTGCAGTGCGCGGGTTAGCGCAGCGTGTGCCACGGCTGTATAGGAGCCCTGCTTGGGCTACGGCAGTGTGATGTCGCTTGCTGGAGCTGTGCATCATGGACGTACGAATGTTGAATTCCTCTCACACCGAACGTAGCCAACCGTGCATATCGGAGGTACGGGGGGGGGGGGGGGGGACACGGACAACAAACTAAACACAAAACGCAGTGGGAAAAAAATTAGTTTTTGAAAATCTAGATTTAAAAGTGCACAGCTCCCTCGCCTTCCTAATATCGGAAGGAGGAGCGTTCCAGACGGCCGCACAAGCGCACATGAACACGCGCGATGCGGTGACCGTCTTCGTTCGACTGCGAACCAAAATCCGCCGTTGTGAGGATGACGGTTTATTTCCCCTCGACGAGATCAGCGACGGTAATAAGGCATCACACGGCCGGGCGAGCGCAGTGCGATGTGGCGGGCGAGAGGCTCGTGCCGGCATAGAGGAGCGTGCCCCCCCGTTGGCGGACGGAGGCGCCCCTTGCGTGGCATTACCGTAACGCCAGCGCGGCGTTGGTGGGCGCCAGCGCGTGCAGCCTCTCCAGCGCCGCCGAGCGTTGGCAGGGCGGCAGGCAGCCCACGTACACGTCCACAACCTGCACGCAGCCCGTCAGCCGACCGACACAAAGACGTTGGCGCCTCTTTTTTTTTTCCCACAGCACAGCGGAGCTGCGTCGGGCTCGCGACCGGGACGGCTCGTTTTTATCCCCGCTGCGGGAGCGGAGCCGTGCCGCCGAGCGTCGCGCAGAACGATACGAGCGGAGATGAGCGCAGACGACGCGGTGACCTCACGGCGTAACCGACCGATGTGAGATGTTAACTACCTCGCCTGGTGTACAGGAGGTCGTGGGTTCGACCCTGACGCCTGCTGCTGTATATTTGGAATTTGCGTCTCTCATCATCATCATCATCACGGTGGCTAGGAGATGTTAACTACCTCGCCTGGTGTATAGGAGGTCGTGGGTTCTATCCCGACCCTGACGCCTGCTGCTGTATATTTGGAGTTTGTGTCTCTCATCATCATAACGGTGGCTAGGAGATGTTAACTACCTCGCCTGGTGTACAGGAGGTCGTGGGTTCGATCCCGACCCTGACGCCTGCTGCTGTATATTTGGAGTTTGTGTCTCTCATCATCATCACGGTGGCTAGGAGATGTTAACTACCTCGCCTGGTGTACAGGAGGTCGTGGGTTCGATCCCGACCCTGACGCCTGCTGCTGTATATTTGGAGTTTGCGTCTCTCATCATCATCACGGTGGCTAGAAGATGTTAACTACCTCACCTGGTGTACAGGAGGTCGTGGGTTCGATCCCGACCCTGACGGTGCCCGAGTTTGCATGTTCTCCCCGTGGTCACGTGGATTTTTCTCCGGGTCCTCTGGTTTTACCCTCCACATTTAGAATTGACAGCACGTGTTTTAGAGTATTTGACCGCTATAAATTTCCACGTGATAAGCCACTTCATGGAGCTCTCATTTGCGGCCAGGTCGTCTCTCAAAAAGAGCTATAACTCGTAGCCCACTCGTTGAGGTGAGCACCTACGAAGGCCGGCACGGCGAACGAGGAGGTGGTGTTGCCGTCACGGCACCACGGCCGGCTGCCTTCGTCTCCGCAGCGCCGATGTTGACACGCCGCACCGAGAACTCGTGTAAGGTGGAATCGACGTTGGGGAAGGCCCCGGGAACCGGTTCTGATATCACGCGCCACCAACGCGGGCCCGTGACTGGAAGCCAGAGCCGGGCGGCCGCGTTCGTAGCGCGGTGCGCGCTCGCCCATCAGCCCGGATATTTTGGAAGTCGTTCGTGCGTGGCCCTCGGGAAGTAAGGGAGAGGTTTCCCGCAAACGTAGTCTACGAGACGTGTGTTTTTCGGGTTGCATCGTTCCCATTAAGCGGCGGACGTATGAATGTAAAACTTCTTTAGCGCCGTACGTAGCCAAATGTGCTAGTCGGAGGTGCGGGGGAAGGACAACAAACTCTGCGCGAGTCTGTGGGCATCTGTGTGAGTCTGTGGGTCTCTGTGTGGGTGTGTGAGTCTGTAGGTCTCTGTGTGAGTCTATGGGTCTCTGTGTGAGTCTGTGGGTCTCTGTGTGAGTCTGTGGGTCTCTGTGTGAGTCTGTGGGTCTCTGTGTGAGTCTGTGGGTCTCTGTGTGAGTCTGTGGGTCTCTGTGTGAGTCTATGGGTCTCTGTTTGAGTCTGTGGGTCTCTGTGTGAGTCTGTGGGTCTCTGCACGAGTCTGTGGGTCTCTGCACGAGTCTATGTATGTAGAACATCTTTAGGACCGTACGTAGCCAACCATGCTAATCCGAGGTGCCGAGGGGTGGGGGAAGGACAACAAACTAAACACAAAAAGCACATTTTTAAAGTGCACAGCTCCGGTGGCTTCCTACTGTCCAAGGGAAGAGCGAGGCGCTCCGGACGGCCGCAGAGGTGCATCTGAAAGCGTGACGCGAAGCCGCCACCGTGCCCGTCCCGACGGCTCGGCCAACAAAACTCCGCCCGCCGGAGCGAGGACGAGCGCGAGTTTCGCGCGATGGTCTAACGCTCCTTGCCGGATGGGAGCGCCGGGCGCGGGCACCTGGTTGTGGAAGGTGTAGTCGGCCCAGTACTTGGCGGAGGCGTGCGGGAGGGCGCGCCGCACCGGCACCGTGGCGAGGCAGCGGTGCACGAGCGCCGTGAACGACCGCAGCTCCGGCGCTTTGCTCGCCGACGCCAGCAGCCTCGCCTTGGCCTGCGTCAGGTAGCTGCGCACACGGACGCGGGCGCAGACACGCACGCGCAGACACAACAACAAAAACAACCGCCATTCGCCACTAAGTGGCGGTGACGTCACCACGACGCAGACACGCACACGCAGACACGCACGCAGAGACACGCACGCAGAGACACGCACGCACAGATCTTGCCCCCCACCATATAGCCTTCAACAGATTTACTTCTTAGGTTTTTTCTGTAAAGTCACGTAGGAAAAAATAAAATTAATAAAAGTAATAATAGAAATAAAATAATAAATCACGACGTTTCGGAGGCAACACAAGTCTCCGTCATAAGGTGGGACCGTCACAGCTAGATACAGTAAATCTAGCTGTGACGGTCGTGATTTATTATTTTATTTCTATTATTACGTTCATTATTTTTTTATTTTATTTTTTTCCTACATGACTTTACCGAAAAAAACCTAAGAGTATGAATCCTTGCAGTCACGAAAGCTTCAAATCTAGAATTCAACAGACTTGTTTGGGGCAAGTGTTGTTAGCGAGTAGCAGCACCGATGAAGGCCGGCACGGCAAACGACGGGGTGGGTGGCCAGCACCGTGCCCGGCCGCCTTTGATTCCGTGAGCGGGGAATCGAAATCCGGTCACCCGGTTCGTAGTGGGAGCGCGCCCACCACTACGCTAGCGCACGCGTGCACACGGAAACGCGCACGCACGGCACACACACACACACACAAATTCCCCGTGTAGCCCAACTAAACTATTTGGGGAAAATTCTGTCGGCGAACGAAGGCCAACGGGTAGCACACGACACGAAGGGGTGGTGCGGCCAGTGCCGATGTTTACACACTGCACCGGCTGTTTAAGGCCTAGTCAACCTAGGCGAGGCCCAGGGCTGATTCAACAATGTCAGTGGCATAATTTCACGCCTAAAATACCCACTAAAAAACCGACTTCACAAAGTCCTCCGGATAACTTGTGCGCTGGCGATCTGGTCCAGAAAGCTATTAGAAAATATTTTTATTGTACTATTTTGAGTTTAATTTTCGATTTAAAGCTTTCGTGACTGCACGAAAGCTTTAGTTTACCAGCTAAGGCCCACCGAGCTGCACGACACTTTTTCAGACGCGACCTGGCCGTCACAAACGATAGCTCAACGAAGTGGGCTCATCATCACGCGGACATTTGTAGCAGCCAAATACTCCCAAGATCACTTTTCTAAACGTGGGACGGGGAGGACCCGGAGAAAAATCCACGTGACCACGGGGAGAACGTGCAGCTGGCATGGAACTTATAATAATTAGTTTTTTACTCTTTTTTCTGGCAACAAAACTGACACCTTTTTACAAGGAATCATGTTTGCATTAACCACAACACCTGCGGTCAGAATGCAAACAAAAAACACAACTCTGATAATGTATGCACTGTCCTTGAAATTGATTGGTCCACACCAGAGACAGATTTTCTTAGAGCCTAGTCTCACATGGTGTTGGACCAGATGACACCAAAAGGCGCACAACTCAAAGACAACGCACCATCAGAGTATGAGGGCTCGGGGGACCGCAGGTATTGTGGTTAATGCAAACATGATTCCTCGTAAAAAGGTGTCAGTTTTGTTGCCAGAAAAAAAGGGTAAAAAACCTATTATTCTTACGCACCTACGATAAGCGCCGATGGCTACGTACGGTGCAAAAGATCAACATACGGGTGTCAGGGTCGGGATCGAACCCACGACCTCCCGTGAACCAGGCGAGGTAGTTAACATCTCCTAGCCACCGCTAACAGAGCGAGGTTGTGCCGCGCGGGTGCTCGTGCAAGCGTGGGCAACACACTCCAACCACAGCAGCCGCAGCGGCTCCTCCGTCAGCTGGGCCGCCCCCAGGGCAGCTTCGTGGGCGTCCGTCGCTCCGGCCGCGGGACTCGCCAACACCTGCCAGGAGCTACCACCGCACACACACACACAAGGTCGTCCCGTCAAAAGCCGCACGCCGCGCACAGCAACGCCGCAACAACGACACCAACTATTTTTAGTTTATATTCTTCGGGAAAGTCACGTAGGGGAAAAAAATTATAATAAAAAAAATGTAAAAAAATGTAACAGTTATTATTTCCCTTCTACGTGACTTTGTCTTCTCGACAGACCTGTTCTCCACCTGAGGATGGGTGCTTGCGTTGTGGCCGAAACGTCGTGAGAATTATTTGATTATGTTTTATTTTTATTATTTTATTATTTCCATTCTATGTGACTTTACCGAAAGAACCAAGAATATAGTTCATAGTTGTTCCATATTATTTATCGGATACGAGTCTATTTCACCCAGTTAATTACACTTTTGACGTTCAGCAGTGTGGCTATTTTGTTGCGAGTACCATCATCTGTTTTGACGGCATTCGTTGTAGATGCGTATCCCCCCCCCGCGCAACTACAGCCCCGCCCACTTACCCCCCCCACCACCCTGCCCAGTATAAACCCCTTGACTCCGGCTTCTCTCCCACTTCAGTAAAATTTCTTGCTTGTAGTTGTCACACCTGATGATGATTGCTTGTGTTGCAATCAAAACGTCGTGATTAATTTTTTTAATATTATTATTTTTTCTTTTCTTTTTCACCTACGCGACTTTGCCGAAAGAACCAAAGAACATGGATCCCTGCAGTCACGAAAACTTCAAATCTTGTATATTTTTAGTTTACCAGGTAAGAGCCCACTGAGCTAAATAGATCTTTATCCAAAGCGACCTGACCACAAATTATAGCTCGACAGAATTGTTCATCGTTTTTTACCCTTTTATCTGGCAACAACACTGACACCTTTTTTTTTACAAAGAGTCATGTTTGCATTTACCACAATACCTGCGGTCGGAATGCAAAAAAAAATACAACTCTGATAATGTATGCACTGTCCTTGAAATTGATTGGTCCACACCCGAGACAGCTTTCCTTAGAGCCTAGTCTCGCGTGGTGTTGGACCAGATGACGCCAAAAGGCAAACATGACTTCTTGTAAAAAAAAGGTGTCAGTTTTGTTGCCAGATAAAAGGGTAAAAAAAACTATTATCATATTTTGCTACTGGCAAAGGAGGTTTCAATGGTGGTTCATCGTTGTTTGTAAATTTTATCAGCCAAATACTCTCAACGCGTAACACCGATTCTAAACGTGGAAGAATAAGAAACCAGAGGATCCGGAGAAAAATCCACGAGACGACGGGGAGAGAGACACGCAAACTCCAAATACACAGCAGCAGGCATTAAGGTCAGGATCGAACCCACGACCTCCCGTACACCAGGCGAGGTAGTTAACATCTCCTAGCCACCGTGATGATGATGATGAGAGACGCAAACTCCAAATGTACAGCAGCAGGCGTCAGGGTCGGGATCGAACCCACGACCTCCTGTGCACCAGGCGAGGTAGTTAACATCTCCTAGCCACCGTGATAATGATGAGAGACGCAAACTCCAAATATACAGCAGCAGGCGTCAGGGTCGGGATCAAACCCACGACCTCCTGTACACCAGGCGAGGTAGTTAACATCTCCTAGCCACAACGGCGCACGAGTGAGGCCTCGTGAAGATTAGCATCGTATTGGTCACGAAAAAGTTCATCGTGGGGGGGCGGGGGGGGGGGGGAACGTACCAGTAGCAGAGCCACAGGTAGCCCTGCTGGGCCTGCAGCGTCTCGCGCGAGACTCCGGCCGCAAAGTCGGGGGCTCGGAAGTTGTACGGCACGGGGCACCCGAGCAGAGACCTGGAGATGAACGCAACACGTGTTATGCGCACGTACGTATGTTGAGCTTCCTTCGCACCGTACGTAGCCAACCGCGCGAATCGGAGGTGCGGGGGAAGGACAAACTAAACACAACAAGCAGTTCTAAAGAAATGAGTTTTCAAACAAGTTGATGATTTAAAAGTGCACCGCTCCAGCGGCTTCCTAATATCGGAGGGGAGAGCGTCCCGGACATCTGCAGATGCGGCGAGTCTTCGATGGCGAGCCAAAATTCGCCGTGAGGGTGAACGGAGTTCACGTGATTGTGCTCCTTGACGAGTTCAGCAAGGTATTGGTGGTTCATTTGTGGCAAGCGCGCTGTGTGTGTGTGTGACTAATGAGCTAGGGTTCAGGGTTCAGTCGGCGAGCCTCGCAAACCCATCGATCGCACCACGATGAAGATGACCAGTCGACCCACGGTCCAGACTTGAAATCACAACCTTCCGGTTGCTATACCGTCTGCCGGCTGTGGTCACATGGCACGTGCACGTGACTCGCGGGTAGGAAGGGAGGGGGGGCGGCACCTGAACAGGAGCTCGGTGGTGGCCGCCTTTTCCTCCGCGAAGAACGACACCGCGAGGGACTCGAGCACAGCGATCGGCTTCTCCTCCACAGCCTGAACGGACACAGACGACAGACGGACGTTCCACACCTCGCAACGACCAGAGCTACTGGCGTGGTCACGACACAGACACCGTCAGACGTTTTTATAAATGCGGAGGGGAAAAACCGGAGGACCAGTGGTAAATCCACGCGACCACAGGGAGAGAGAGAGACACACAAACTCCATATATACTAAGCAGGCGTCAAGGGGTCGGGATCAAAACCCACGACCTCCCGCATACCGGGCGAGGTAGTTAACATCTTGAACTCGACACCGACATCGACGGCCGATCTCCCGACCTCGCGACGACACCTCACAGGGCGCGACCAAATCATCTCGACCCGGGCGGACCCCCCGCCGGAGCCGTAGCCGTAGCGGCAAACCCCGGCTCCGCCACTCACGTGGGCGGCGAGGAACTTGGCGGCGTGGTAAGCGAGGCGCGCGTCCCTCGGCCGGCGCCGCAGGGCCCCGAGCCAGGCCCTCGCGCCCTCCGCCGCGTCGCCCCGCTGCACGAGCGTCTCCGCCAGCTGCCGCGCACGCCCTCCAGCTCCAGCGGGGTCCCGGCAGCCTCCGTGCAGATCGTGCCGCACAGCGCAAGCGCCTCGTCCCAGCTGCGGGGTTTTGGAAAAGCGGGCGAATGAGGATGGAACGAACGGGACGTGGGGGGGGGCACGCGGTGGTGAGAAGTTCTCCCTCGCCGGGGATGCGGGTCGCGGGTTAGAACCCGATACCTATTCCTGGGTTTTTTTGGTAAAGTCACGTAGGTAAAAAAATAAAAATTAATAAAAATAAAATATTTTACTTTTATTAATTTAATTTTTTTTTACCTACGTGACTTTACCGAAAAAAATTTAAATTAATAAAAGTGAAATAAAAATAAAATATTTTACTTTTATTAATTTTTTTTATTTTACCTACGTGACTTTACCGAAAAAAATTAAAATTAATAAAAGCAAAATAAAAATAAAATATTTTACTTTTATTAATTTTTATTTTTTTTACCTACGTGACTTTACCGAAAAAATTAAAATTAATAAAAGTGAAATAAAAATAAAATATTTTACTTCTATTAATTTTTTTACCCAAGTGACTTTACCGAAAAAACACAAGAATATGAATCCTTGCAGTCACGAAAGCTTCAAATCTAGAACCCGATACCTGTTGTACATTTCGAGTTTGCAGATCTCCCTCCGAAATGTCGAGCTCCATGGAAACCAGCGAAGGAATGCCCCCCGAGCTACGTAGCTCTTTTTACAGAAGTGACCTGGCCACAAATGACGGCTCAACGAAGTGGCTTGTGCGCAAATACTCTAAACGCACGTCGATTCCAAATGTGGGGGGACAAAGCGAGAGAGAGAGAGAGACACGCAAACTCTAAATATACAACAGGCGTCACAGGTCGGGGCGAGGGAGGTAACACCTCGCCACCGCGACGCCCCACATTGTAGTAACAATGTGCGATACATCTTCTTGGTTCTTTCGGTAAAGTCACGTAGAAGGGAAATAATAAAATAATGAAAATAAAACATAATCAAATACAATTCTCACGACGTTTCGGCCACAACGCAAGCAGCCGTCCTCAGGTGAAGAACAGGGCTGTCGGAAAAACTTGCATTCAGACGCTGTCTTTCCGACAGCCCTGTTCTTCACCTGAGGACGGCTGCTTGCGTTGTGGCCGAAACGTCGTGAGAATTGTATTTTATAATGTTTTATTTTTATTATTTCCCTTCTACGTGACTTTACCAAAAGATCCAAGAAGACGAATCACTGCAGTCACAAAAGCTTTAATCGAAATTGAAGTAGCTTATCGTCACGTGGAAATTCATAGGGGCCAAATGTTCTTATTCAACGCACGTTCATTCTAAATGTGTGCAGAAAGCTTTAAATCGAAAAATGTGGGATACGGCAAGACGGGCACGTGGGGGGGGGGGGGGGGTGCGGCGGGTAGGGCAGGGTGACATGGAGACACGGGGGGGGGGGGGGGGGCAGCACCAAGCGGCTAGCGGGGCGTGCGAGAGTGGAGACGCACCTCTCGCATAGCACGTGCACGCGCAGCGCGTTCCTGTGGATGGGCAGGCACGCAGCCAACGTCTCTGCCCGGGCGTCGCCACCACTGCCGTCGTCGCAATCGTCGTCAGCGCCGCCCGGACCACTGGAGCAAGCTCGCACGGCCTCTGTGTTGCGTGGCGGAGAAGGTGGGGGGGGTGGGGCGGGGGGAGAAGTTGCGGGCGCGTCGTGGTGTACCGTGCGCAAACACCCGTGCGGATGGCTCGATGGGGGAAGCGCCGGCTGATGAACTGCAACATAAACTAGTTTTTATTTTAGCAGGTAAGGTCCACCGCTGAGCTATGCAGCTCTTTTGTCACATGATAGCTCAAGCAAGTGGTTCATCGTCGCGTGGAAATTCATAGCAGCCAAATACTTCCAACGCGTTCACGTCGATTCTAAACGTGGAGCAGAAAGCCAGAGGACCCGGAGAAAAATCCACGTGCAAAATCCATCCCGTCGGCACCTCCGATTGCCACGGTTGGCTGCGTACGTCGCGAAAGAAGTTTGACGTGCACGCAAACATTGTACCAATCTCTCCGCCCGTAATAAAAATGTCACGCGCCTGCCAGCCGATGGTAAACGTCACGACGGACGTCGATAACCACCCGCCCCTCCACCCCTCCAGAGGTCCCCTACCCTGCAGCAGCACCAGCAGCGCGGCGGGCGGAGTCTTGAGGTCGCCTCGCCAGCGCCAGGGCAGCACGAAGGGCTCCTTGCGCACGAGGGCGCCGGGCAGCGAGCAGGCCGGGTCGGCGAGTGCGGAGGGCAGCTCGCCAAACTCGACGGCGTGAAGATAAGAGAGCCACGCGACGGCGCGGTCGGCAGGGAGCAGCAGCGCCGACACGCACGGTTCCCGCGTCGCATCTTCCTCCTCTTCTTTCCCGGCGGTGCCAGTCGGCTTTCAGCGCTTGCTGTGGACGGGCGGACGCGCGCGCATGGCGCCACGTGTAAGAGACGCGCACGCATCCTCCCGTGGACCAACGCGGCACGCAGATTAACGAGCTCTTGAGAAGTGTCGTGGACGGAGGTTGCATGGAAGTCGTTCGTGCGTGGCCCACGGCAAGAGAGAGGTTTCCGCTGCCGTGATCTACGATACACTATCCCGGTGTGTTTTTCAGGTTGCGTTGTTCCCACGAAGCGCCGATTTTATGCAGTTGGACGCTCGTGTTTCAAATTCACTGTACGTACGGTGACCCTCTCCTCTTTACGCTCCCTTCGTTCGCACCGTATAAAGTCAGCCGTGCCAAATCGGAAATGCGGGAGAAGGAGACCAAGCGAAATGCAATAAGCAGTTCTATAGAAATTAGTTTTCAATTTTGATTTAAAAATGCAGGGCACGATCGCCGACTTCTTTGCGAAAGGACACGGCATGTAAACTAAAGTATTAAACTAAAATATTTTACATACCGTTTGGTTCTTTCGGTAAAGTCACGTAGGTAGCAAAAAAATTTGATCGAAACGTCGCGATCTATTATTCTTTCTACCCACGTGACTTTACCGAAAGAACCAAAAAGTATGGATTCCTGCAGTCATGAAAGCTTCAAATCAAGATTAAAATATTTAACATTTTAGCAGGCAAGGCAAGTGGCTTATCATCATCACGTGGAAGTTTATAGCGGCCGAATACTCTAAAACGCTTGACATTTATTCTAAATGTCGAGGGGAAAAAAACGAAGGACCTGGAGATAAATCCACGCGACCACGGGCAGAGAGAGGCGTGCAAACTCCAAATATACAGCAGCAGGCGTCAGGGTCGGGATCGAACCCACGACCTCTTGTATACCAGGCGAGGTGGTTAACATCTCCTAGCCACCATGATGATGATGAGAGACGCAATCTCCAAATAATACAGCAGCAGGCGTTAGGGTCGGGATCGAACCCACGACCTCCTGTGTACCAGGCGAGGTAGTTAACATCTCCTAGCCACCGTGATGATGATGAGAGACGCAAACTCCAAATATACAGCAGTAGGCTTCAGGGGTCGGGATCGAACCCACGACCTCCTGCACACCAGGCGAGGTGGTTAACATCTCGCCACTGCGTTAGGAGAGACGTTACACAGCTGGAATCGGACATCGGCTGGACCGAGAGACGTCGCTACAACCATGACAGAGAGACACACAGGGAAGGGGGGTCGTGACTGCAGCTCAGAGGTCGCAACCGGGTACCCGATACCCGTACCCTACCAGATACCCGGCTACCTGTACCCGGTCGGGTACGGGTACCGGTACCCGTTTGCGACCCTGGTGCGGCCGGGTACGGGTAGGCCATGAGTCACTGGTGAGTAACCGTTTGTCACTCATTTCGGGTAGGGAACGGGTCCCATTTGCGACCCTGGTGCGGCCGGGTACGGGTAAGGAATTAAAACCCGTTTGCGACCTCTGCTGCAGCTAGCGCCGTGGCGAGCGCCAATCGGCGGGGCACGACGCCTCAAGCGACTGCCGCCTCGTGCGCACCCGGAAGATTTCGAGCGCCAGCTGCAGGCGCCCCGTGCAGACGTTGAGCTGCACGCGGTAGAGCAGGGCCTCGAGCAGGCGGTGCGAGTGCAGGCGCCGGTCGGCCGCCGTCGCCGCCGCGGCGACGAGGAACTGGAGCAGACGGGAGCAGACGTAGTCCTTGCCCTCGTACGTTCGCTCCAGCGAGAGGTACTGTGATCGCACGCACGCACGCAGACACAGACGTGAAAATCAAGACGAAAAAGATGGCCCTCATGGCCTTTTGTAATTGGGTTCCGGTACACAGCCTAGATACACTACTCTGGCTACGCTCTGGGGTCCTCCGGCTACAATTAGCCTAGGGGAGGCTAATCTGACCCGACCCAGCCAAGGTGCGGGTCTGGACTCTGGCTTCCTCGGAACTCGCCCTTACAAGGACGTAGAGCCGGGAGTCCCAGAGTCCCACCACTGGCCCTCACAGCGTCCCGGCCCCTTACAAGGACAAGCGGGACGAGGGGGTCCAGGGTCCTAAGCTGGCTGCGGGTCTTGGGTCTTGAGCTGCGACTGGCCCCGATCGGCCAGGGAGCTGCCCTTTTATGCCTCGTCCCCAACGAGGGGTGGGTTGTGTGCGCCCCCAGATATCCCACAGAGCACACACAGCCCCCCCCGTTGGTGGCGCCAAGGAGCTTAAGCGTCTGGTTGCCTGGGATCCTGGCGCCGAGGCTTATCTGTCTAGGATCCCAGAGCCCCCACACTTCCACAGACTGTTGGGGCAAGTGCTGTGAGTGACCGCCTAAGAAGGGCGGCACGGTGCACAATGCGGTGGTGTGGCCAGAGCCATGCCCGGCCACCTTTGTCTTCCCAGTGCTGATATTGACACGTCGCACCAGGTACGGGTCACCACGGCGCTTGTGCCAGGCCACGTGCAATCCGAGGCAATGTGTCAAAGGCCTGCTTGATAGGTCACAAACCCAGGTGCCGTACGTTGACCGAATACTACACATACGCGTACAATAAAGCCTCCCCATATAGCCTTGAACAGGCTGTTGGGGCAAGTGCTGTTAGCGAGCACCTGTGAAGGGCCGGCGCGGCACACGAGGGGGTGGGTGGCCACAGCACCGCGCCCGACCGCCTTTGCCTCCGTAGTGGTGATGTTTACTACACACCGCACCAGGTACTCATTTAAGGCCGAGTCGACCTAGGGGAGGCCCAGGACCGGTTCAGATAATCGTCACTGGTGTTAGCTGTGAGCGGGAATCGAACCCGGGTCGCCAGGTTCATAGCGCAGCGCGCTAACCGCTACACTACCGCTCCCCACGTACGCGTACACACACGCTCACACACACGCGCACACACACGCGCACGTACACACACGCGATGCACCCCCGTCTCACCTGCCACCACAGGCCGTGGTCGGGGCGCGTAGCCCACGGCCACTCGCACATCTCCTGCAGCTCCTTGTGGCTGCCGACGCAGCCGGCGAACAGCGCCAGGTAGCGACCCCACACCTCGCCGCTGCCGCGGTTCGCCTCCAGCGCCCGCGACAGGCAGTGAGGGCTGCGTTGAGCGCCTCCGTGGGGTCGCTAGGGTGGGGGGGGGGGGCGAAGGTCGCAGAGGGACAGGGGGGTGGGGGCTGGTGAGACGGGAGTGGAGGGGCGGGACAGAGTTGGGGGCACTTTGATGAACAAATTATTCATGTGTTGTTTACATTTGCATCTAACTGCTCAACCCGAGCTACGGATGATGCGATATTCGCATCGCCTTTTGTGCCGTCCACCTTTTGGCGTCGTTCTCTGCTGCAACACCGGTGGTGAGACAAAGGTCATTAAGGGGGCCGTCGCCTCTGGTGAAGGCCAAATCAGCTTCAAAGTAAATGCACACATCATGGGACCCTCCCTTGCCAGTATCGAAATATAAGCATAGGTTTTACCCTTTCTGGCACTAAAAACAGTTGTGTTAAGATGTTAAAACACCAAACTGAAGCCAGTATTCAATTATGATAATAGGGTTTTCCCTTTTCTGGCACTAAAACAGTTGTGTTAAGATGTTAACACACCAAACTGAAACCTTTTGCAAGGAATCATGTCTGCAATAACACATATACTTGTGGTGAAAAAAAACATAACATGCTGCGATAGTCTATGCATCGTCTTTTTAAACCGATTGGTCCACATCTTTGAGCCTAGTCTCAAAGAAAGCTGCCTGACGCAGCAGTGCCGTACTACCGGCGTGCGTGCGGGGGGGTCCGTACCACTCGGGCTGGTGGAGGTACTTCTCGGACAGCTTGATCCACAGCTGGATGTCGCCGGGGCTCCGCTCCACGGCCTCCTCGAGCCGCGCGGCGTCATCCGAGCCGGCGCTGAAGTAGCGCTCGCTGCACGCCGCCGACGCCGCCGCCTCGACCTGCCGTGCCACGGCTGGACCGGCTACACGGGCACGTGGTGAGAGGGGGGGGGTAAGGGGGGGGGAGTGGGGTAGACTCACATCAGCCCGGACTGTCCAGGTCGGTAGCCCGGAGAGTATTCCCACACCCGCATGATCTGCGTTTGACGAGCGCCAAGTGATTGGGTGTCACTTTGTTCACTAGCGACCGTGTCTGCGCGTCGCCGCGTGTCTGTGCGTCACCGTGTGTCTGCGCGTCGCCGTGTCTGCGCGTCACAGCGTCATCATGTTGGTGTCGACTAGCGGTGGTGTCCGCACGTCACCATGTGTCCGCGCGTCACCGTGTGTCTGCGCGTCGCCGTGTCTGCACGTCACAGCGTCATCATGTTGGTGTCGACTAGCGGTGGTGTCCGCACGTCACCATGTGTCTGCGTGTCACCGTGTCTGCGCGTCACCGTGTGTCTGTGCGTCACCGTGTGCCTGCGCGTCACCGTGTGCCTGCGCATCACCGTGTGCCTGCGCGTCACCGTGTGCCTGCGAGTCGCCGTGTGCCTGCGAGTCGCCGTGTGCCTGCGAGTCGCCGTGTGCCTGCGAGTCGCCGTGTGCCTGCGAGTCGCCGTGTGTCTGCGAGTCGCCGTGTGCCTGCGAGTCACCGTGTGCCTGCGAGTCACCGTGTGCCTGCGAGTCGCCGTGTGCCTGCGCGTCACCGTGTGCCTGCGCGTCACCGTGTGTCTGCGCGTCACCGTGTGCCTGCGCGTCACCGTGTGTGTCCGCGCTCAATCTCTCACGCTTGCCGGGCCCGGGGAGCGCCCCGCGGTCAACGCCGTCGTCGCCGCTCTCGCTGTCGCTCCCACCGGCCGTCCCCGCCGCGTTCGTCTTCCTCACGGCCACGGGCCGCCACGCCCGCCGCTCCTTGAACGTGGTGAAGGGGGGTTCTGCGGTGGGGGGGCGGGGGGGGCGGTACCAGTCAGCGCGAGTCTCCGGAGCAATGGCGTGTCACCAACCCCGACCCTACCAATCCCCTTGTTAGCCGAGTCCGTTAACACCCCCACCCACCATCACCCGGCGCACCGAGCCCACCCCGCGGTTTTTACGGCTGCTGTGCATGGACTGCCTGCGATCACCGCACAGATGTTGTGCGAGACTCCCTTCCCGTTGACGTCGAGGAAGAGGTGCTGGACCCCATTGGCTAGCCAGGAGAAGGCGGTCCAGCAAAGTGCGGATTAATATCATGTCCCCATTGTATTTCGATTTAAAGCTTTCGTGACTGCAGGGATTCATCTTCTTGGTTCTTTCGGTAAAGTCACATAGAATGTTTTATTTTATTGTTTTATTATGAGTCCCCATTGTATTGCAGAGAGCGCTCCGGGTTTCCACCCACACGTAAAAAGACCCGGATCAATTGGGTGAAACAATCTTGACGTGTGGAGGACCGCAGAACTCGGGCAATTGTTGGCAGCACCGGCTCGCCGCCTGACTGCTGCCTTCCCGCTCGACCGCGATTCCTCCTCCCCTCCGAGAGCGAGCGAGTTCTGTGCGGCGGGCAGCGGCGCGTTACCGATCCTAGCGGCAGTCGTAAGCTAGCAAGAGCGGTGGTGGTGGTGGCGGCGCCGTGGCAAGCCCGGCACGCTTGCTAGCGGAGTCACACTCACGCTGGCGGGCCCGGCCGTTGACCTTGCTGCACTACGAACCCGGCGACCCGAGTTCGATTCCCGCTCACGGCCAACACAAAGTGACGATTGACGATTATCTGAACCGGTCTTGGGCCTCCCCCTAATTCGACTCGGCCTGAAACAAGTACCTGGTGTGGTGTGTAGTAAACATCGCCACTAGGGAGACAAAGTTGGCCGGGCGTGGTGTTGGCCACCCACCACCTTCATGTGCCTTGCCCCGCTTTCATAGGCGCTCGCTCAAAGCACTTGCCCCAACGGATTCAGGCTATCCGGCAGATATTCTTAGGTTTTTTCGGTAAAGTCACGTAGATAAAAAATAAAATCACGACGTTTCGGAGGCAACACAAGCTTCCGTCTTCAGGTGGAACCGTCACAGCACGATTGCTGTATCAAGTGAGAGGTTCCACCTGAAGACGGAAGCTTGTGTTGCCTCCGAAACGTCGTGATTTTATTTTAATTTAACTTTTATTAATTTTAATTTAAATGTTTTACCTACGTGGCTTTACCGAAAAAACCTAAGAATATGAATCATTGCAGTCACGAAAGCTTCAAATCTAGAATTATCCGGCAGATCTTTGTCTTTATCTTTGGTGGTGGTGGCGGCGCGGACGATGACACTCACGGTGGCGGGCGCGCTCGTTGACCTTGCCCACGAGCAGCACGGCCACCTGATCGGCCGTCACGCGCTCCGTGTTGGGGCCCAGCACGCCACGCACGTAGCTCTCTGCGCGACCATCGGCGAGGCAGGGAGAGACGCCGCCTCTGATTAGCGCGGCCGAAAGGGAGTTCAACGTACATGCGTGCGTACCAGACCCCCCCCCCCCCCCCCACCCCAAAAAAGAATAAACCATGCAGTGAAGACGTTGTCAACCGAGCCACTGATGCGGCGCGGCCGCGGTACTCCTACGTAGCGGTCAGCCGTCGATGACCCGGTGTGCAAATTAGGTGACAAGAACGTAAGGTTGCGTTTACCCACTTACAGTTAATTATACGTGCTCTGAAGAAGAGCCATTGAAGAGCCATTGCCCGAAACGTCGCCTATTACCTATTCTAAAGGACACTGTTATCGACGAATGGATGTGTTGAGACTTAGCCATTTGATTTTTTTGATTTACTTTGAATGGTGTGTAGATTGTCTCCACCGTTTTCTATTGCTTCTTGAGTTGAGTCGGATTAAGGGCGGTGCGGCTGGTGGTGGAGTGGTTAGGACACCTGGAGCTACGGACCCAGCGACCAGAGATCCATTCCCAGCAACAGCTAAACATCAGTGGCGTGCGACATCTCTTCATTAGGTACGTACGGTGAACTTCCTTCGCACCGTACGTAGCCAACCGTGCCAAACGGAGGTGTGGGGGGGGTTAAGAACAACAGACTAAACTCAAAAATCAGTCCCAAAGAAATTCGTTTTCAATCTCGAAGCTGCCCACCAACAGCACTTGCCCCAACAGTCTGCCAAGGCTATAAACAGGGGATCTTTGTCTTTGTCGAGCGTGCGTGCGTGGTGCTTTACCGGCCGCGGTGATTATCTCCTTCTGGGAACTTTCACTTGTACAGCCCAGCAGGGGGAGGTCATATGAGAGGATGTCTTGGAACAGCTCCTCCCGGCCCAGAGTACAGTCCGCCATGTGCTGCCTGTACCAGTCAGTAACAGCCACATCAGCAGCAGCATGAGTATGGGGGGGGGGAGGTTGTTGCTGTTGTCGTGTTTTTTGTAAGTTAGGCCACCATATTGCTCTGTTAACTGTGTTTACTTTTACACTACGAGACCTCCTTTACCAGTAGCAAAATATAGTAATAGGTTTTTACACCCTTTTATCTGGTACAAAAAACTGACACCTTTATACAAGGGATCATGTTTGCAATAACCACAACACAAGCAGTCAAAATGCAAACAAAAAGAAACAACTCTGATGATGATAACGATATGCACTGTCCTTGAAGTTGATTGGTCCACACCAAAGACAGCTTTTCTTAGAGCCTAGTCTCCATTGGTGTTGGACCAGATGATGCATTTTGACTGCCTGTGTTGTGGTTATTGCAAACATGATGCCTTGTTTCGATTTAAAGCTTTCGTGACTGCAGGGATTCATCTTCTTGGTTCTTTCGGTAAAGTCACGTAGAAGGGAAGTAATAAAATAATAAAAATAAAACATAATAAAATCATTCTCACGACGTTTCGGCCACAACGCAAGCAGCCATCCTCAGGTAAAGACCAGGTCTGTCGGGGAGACAGCGTCTGAATGGTACATTCAGATGCTGTTTGTTGCCTTGTATAAAGTTGTCAGTTTTTGTACTAGTTGAAAGGGCTTGAGATGGCTGCCACCTATGGGTCAGATGATTGCCTGCCACCATTAAGCAATTGGTAATAAAAAAAAAAAATTTCCTAAAAAGTGTAAAGTTATGGAAAAAAATTTTCACGAAAATAAATTGTCACGCACAACGAGTCTGTGTGCAAAATGTCAGCTCGATTGGATCACGGGAAGTGGGTTAAAAAACGACCGAAAGATTTGCACGGTCGTAAGCGCGCAAGCAAGCAAGCAAGTGAACTTAATATAAAGGATTTAAAAACCTATTACTACTGGAGGGAGCCGTCGCGTGTTCTGCCATCTCGCGTCTCACCAGGGGCAGTCCTCGTCATTGCACGTCCCCGTGAGCTCAAAGTGGCAGAAGCTCCAGCGCGGCTCCACCTTGTTGCTGAAGGACGGGGAACTCAGCAGAAGCTGCTCCTTGGTGCGGAAGTACGTGCTGAACCTAAACACCCAACGGAGACAAAGATTCCCCGCCCCACCGTGTAGCCTTAGCAGACTTTCGGGGCGAGCATTGTCGCGCGCGAGCAACAGCAACTACGAAGGTCGGCACGGCACGCGAGGGGGGCAGGGTGGTTCGGCACCACGCCCGGCCGCCTTTGTCTCCCCAGTGGCGATGCTTGCGCACACCGCCAGGTACTCGTTTGAGGCCGAGTCGACCTAGGGGAGCCCCAGTTCAGACAACCGTCACTGGTGTTGGTGGCCGTGAGCTGGAAGTGAACTCGGAAGGGGCCGAGTTCGTAAGGCAGCGCGGGTAAACGCTGCTGCACTAACCGCCCTCCGCATCAATGCCACAGACACACCTGGACACAAACAGAACACAACAACAACAACCGCCACTCGCCACTAAGTGGCGGTGACGTCACCACGACGCTTGTGCCAGGCCAAACAAACACAACACTAACACATACACACACACACAACACAGGAGCGCACTCAAATTGACAGACGTACGCAAAACTAAGATGCACAGAGGCACGCAGCAGACACACACACGGACATGCGTACAAACACAGACGCACGCATTAACTAGCACACACACGCACCGTACATATATTTACATAAGACACATGAACAAAAATTTAAATTAAAAAAGTAAAATCAAAATTAAATAAAAATCACGACGTTTCGGAGGCAACACAAGCTTCCGTCTTCAGGTGGAACCGTCACAGCACGATTGCTGTACTTGATACATAATAAAATGTTTTACCTACGTGACTTTACCGAAAAAACCTAAGAATATGAATCCTTGCAGTCACGAAAGCTTCAAATCTACAACACATAAACAAGACACCCACGCATAGATGCGTTTAACACATAGTAGGAGGCTTTAACACTTAGGGGAAGGAGCCAGGGCCGATTGAGCTCGGTGGCGGTGCGGACCCACCTGTAGGTCTTGAACGCGAGCAGTGGGCTCTTGTAGGGCCCAAACGGTTCGGCCACGGAGTCCCGGACGGCCGGGCGAGGCAGGCGCACCAGGTCCACGCCCGTCACCACATCCTGACGAGGCGGGGGGGGGGGGCAGAGCGGTGAACAACGCAGAGCGATCGTAACGACCCTGTCACTGTTAACGGCGGAGGCGACGTGAAACGCGAGCGGATGAAAAGACGCAGCGGATATGATACCACGCACCATTGGAACCTCATTTGCCAGTGAAAATATGATAATCATATTTTTTTTACTGGCAAATGAGGTTCCAATGGTGTAAATGCTTACCCCCGAGCTCTCAAACTCTGATGGTGCATCGTCTTTGAGTTGTGTGCCTTTTGGCGTCATCTGGTCCAACCCATGTGAGACTAGGCTCTAAGGAAAGCTGTCTCGGGTGTGGACCAATCAACTTCAAGGACAGTGCGTACATTATCAGAGTTATGTTTTTTGTTTGCATTATGACTGCAGGTATTGTGGTCTATGTAAACATGACTCCTTGTAAAAAAGTGTCAGTTTTGTTGCCAGAGAGAAGGGTAAAAAACCAATAATCATGATACCACGCGTTCTGCATACACGCTACACGCTGGGCGGACACTATTGAATGGGTTTTTTTATTGGATGCACTTTTTACGCAAATAAATCTGAACACCTTCTTTCAGTCTCGCTACAATGAGTTTGAGAGCCACAGTTGTGATTTAAACTAAACAATTTTTTTTTTATATTTTACCAGGTAAGGCCCACGTAGCTATGTAGCTCTTTTTCAGAAAAAAAAACCTGGCCACAAATGATAGCTCAACGAAGTGGCTTATCACGTGGAAATTTATAGCAGCCAAATATTCTAAATGTGGAGGGGAAAAACTGGAGGACCCGGACAAAAATCCACGTGACCACGGGGAGAGAAACACGCAAACTCCAAATATACAGCAGCAGACGTCAGGGTCTGGATCGAACCCACGACCTCCTGTATACTACGCGAGGTAGTTAACATCTCCTAGCCACCGCGGCCCGCACAAAGCAACAGGTCTGCTTGTTTCGCCGACACGTCAGCATTTAAACCGACGAGGCGTTGGGCCTCGCTGCAAGGGACTTTCACCTCCTCGCTGCTCGTCGGCCCCTCCGCCGGCAGCAGCATCCTCGAGAACTGAGCGAGCACCGCCTCCAGCTCAAGGCCCTGGCCTCGGTCTCGGCCTGGGCCAGCAGTCCCAGGTCTCCCCCTGCCACCGCCTTGCCGCCACCGGCACCGGCGCTCTTCTCCGCCGCCCCCGCCCTTGGCTCGCCCGCGTCCCACGCCCCTGGCCACGGCCGCCCCTCTCCGGCGCTTGCTGGACCTCGTCACCGGCGGCCGGGCGACCTCGACCTCCGGCGTCGCAGCCGCAGAGCCGCGCCCGGTCCTAGC